GAGGCATGTGGAAGAGACCTAAGTCCAAATGGGGCACATTTGAGGCACATTTTTAAAATTAGAGTCCAAATGGGGCACATTTGAGGCACATTGACAAAATTAGAGTCCAAACGGGGCACATTTGAGGTATACTTTAAAAATACCCCAGAAGTAGAGGTACATTTTAGGCATGCCTAAAATGTACCTCGGGCCAAAGGTACATTTTAGGCATGAAAAAGGCATGAAAAAGGCATGCCTCAATGTACCTTTTTTTAGCCTGGGCAGTGACAACATGCTACCATCCAATAGACAGCTGTATCAATGTGTTTACTTCCCTAATTAGTGCCTGTATTGATAGTTACTAGATGTGACCTTGACGTTGTTTACAAACACTGTGTGGAGGTCACACTAGTTTGTAACACTTTATCAATCACAATCAATGAATATGAATTATCCCCCCCCCCCCAAGGACGTTTTTTATCTTTTTATTCTTTAGAAAAAATGATAGAGCAATGATCATCACTTTACACAAAGCAAAACCGTGTTGGTACAGAAATGATCAATCCATTATATATGAAGATGTATTTAACAAATAAACAAATGCATTATATGTATATATGTATACATTTATAAGTTGATTGTGATTTTACTTTTTCACCATGTTGCAGGTGAGGGACAGTTTGGGGAGCACAACCTAATCAAACAGGCTGAAGACTATATTACCTGTGCCAAATCTAACCCTGTCAACTTCTGTCCACCCTCTCTCCACTTTGCTTTCTACAGCCAAGTGACCATCCTAATGGCCGAAGCCCTAGAGGAGCTGGGAGTGAAGGTATGGGGAGAACGGGTGGCTGTGGATCCAGACATCGAGACCCAACTTAAGGCCCTCAGTGCTATCTACCTCGACAGTGATGAGGAGAGCGAGGATCTTCCAGATGAAGAAAGTGAGGAGTCGTCAACTGGCAATAACCAGCCATCCATTATAGACAAGGATCTGGGTACCCATTTTTCTACACACACTAGGTTAGACAGTGTGTTGGACTGTGTGTTACCTGTGACAGTCACCGGACTACCTGTGTCAAACAAAGGGTTACCTGTGTCGGAAAGTGGGGTACCTGTATCAGACACAGGGTTACCTGTGACAGTCAGCGGACTACCTGTGTCAGACAAAGGGTTACCTGTGTCAGACAAAGGGTTACCTGTGTCAGACAAAGGGTTACCTGTGTCAGAAAGTGGGGTACCTGTATCAGACGAAGGGTTACCAGTGTCAGAAAGTGGGGCACCTGTATCAGACACAGGGTTACCTGTGTCGGAAAGTGGGGCATCTGTATCAAACACAGGGTTACCTGTGTCGGAAAGTGGGGCACCGGTATCAGACACAAGGTTACCTGTGTCGAAAAGCGGGACACCTGTGCTGGAGAGTAGGATATCTGTGTTGGACAGTGGGTTACATGTGTCAAACAGAGACTTTATTGCATCTGACCGTAAGATACCAGTGCCGAAGAATGTTGATGCTTTACATGAAGTGGAAAATAGTGACAATACTCCAACAGTGGGGGAAAGATCGTTCCATACCTCAGCAAACAAAAATTGTGAAGATTTGTATCAGGATCTTGATAAAGATACATGCAATAGTGAATGTACAAAAGAATCATCAAATCTCAGGAAATCATTTCCTAGCCTGTGTCAGACTGACACAGATCTGACTGAGCCGTCCTGCAGTACTGCAGTGCATCAAACAAAATCCTCAAAACATTTAAACCAGATCCGTAAAACTGATTCTAGTAATCAAGTTAAAGTTACAGGCCTAAAACAGCCAGTCTGTGTTGCCTCAAATTCAGCAGAATTAAATCTGCAACCACAAAAACGAAACTCAAGTGAAGGAATTAGTGAGATATACAATGATTTGTTTATTTCTTGTCTTTTGATCTCCGTCCCAAAATATGATGTATCAAAGATGGTGATTTCCGCAGAGAGTTGTAATTCTGACAAATCAGTGAACTCTGGAAAAGTAAATTTGGACATTACAACTCTTATCACATTGGTTTCTGCTGTAACACATGGTGGCTGCCATTTTATATTCCCAGAGAAGATTCTCACTTTGCAGGCAAAAGATGAGAGAGAAAATCCTGCTCTTCCTCAACTCCAAACATATCTCAATGGTAAGCTCTGTTATTAATTACTGGAATGTACACCTGTCTACCTGATATATAGGGAAGAATGCGAGAAATGTATTTGTTTCCTTTTAAGTTTTTGGTTTAAAATTGAAGACGATCATCAAGAATGATTAAGGTCTACCCATACACACTACGCTTTACTATTGTTTGTACCTATACATGCACAATCTTGACAGGCCACCCAACATTTTTGTGGATAAAACAGTTGGTCACTAGGAGCGGATGCATAATTTGCTCTCATATTAGTAATTTTTATTTTCACAATCAAATATGACACCACTCAATCAGTAAGACAAGATATCCCCACTGTCATGTGACAACCATGTATGACTTATTGAAATTGAATGTACTTATTCTGTCCAATCATTGAAAAAGGCCCTCAAAGACATCAGATTGTTTTCTTTGACAAACCCATGGCAGGCCCACTGTCTGAACTTAAAATGTTGCAATCTTTTCTGCAAAGTATTATCAAAACTGTGTAAGTAAATCGAAGCCTGCTAATTTAAAAAAAATATGGGTTCACTGGGAGAGAGGCGGCCCTTTCCCCCACTCCCTCCTTGATGGATCTTAAGGGGGATAAAAGCCAAACAATCCCAACACACCTGTAAACATGTTTACACTACTGCCACTGCTTGTAAATAAACTTTGTGCATGTGTTTGTTATGTATTTCATTCTCAGTTGAAAAAATCACAAGAGCAGAATCCATAAAATACATGCACTTTACTCCAACAAGCTAAGTGGGAGAGATGAAGAGACCAGAGTATGTGACACACTCGGCTAGTTACATCCTTTCTTCTGAAGGAGAGAACTTAAAACAGACCTGTAGAATGTTTTCCATTTTGGTCACAAGGCATATATCACGTAGGTGTTTCAAATCAATTATCACTAGACGAACTGAAGATGTTAGACTTAAGAGTACAACGACTTCAGACATTCATCCAATGAGATCCCTTAGTAACAATTGGCATGACCAAGAGGTTAACTTGTACAGAACGGTGTTTGTCAGAGGATAACCTACCAAGGCTTCAGAGTCACACTCATTGCTTTCATCACAGAGGATGGAAAACTATCTTCCTCTATAACCTTACTCTGCAGCTAAGGACAAACTGCATTTTTGTCTGTATATAGCACTAACCTCTCAGCATTCACTATCAAAACAGTACAGGCTTTTAATTTGGGAGAACATTAACTTTGAACAATTCAAGGAAAATGCCCCCAAATAAAAACAGACTGGACTATGTTATCAAGGCATTCTGTTTGATAAGAAAATAAGAATTGAACATTGTAAAATGTTCCTGTATGATAAACTATCGGTGTGAACAGTATAGGCCTCTACAGGGCTAACTAAGTATCAACCAAGAGGGAATGTAAAGTCAAGCCTGCATACAAACTGAACTTACATTGAAGGCGGTATACAGGGATGTAAAGTCAAGCCAGCATACAAACTGAACTTACATTAAAGGCAGTATACAGGGATGTAAAGTCAAGCCTGCATACAAACTAAACTTACATTGAAGGCGGTATACAGGGATGTAAAGTCAAGCCTGCATACAAACTGATCTTGCATTGAAGGCGGTATACAGGGATGTAAAATCAAGCCTGCATACAAACTGAACTTACATTGAAGGCGGTATACAGGGATGTAAAGTCAAGCCAGCATACAAACTGAACTTACATTAAAGGCAGTATACAGGGATGTAAAGTCAAGCCTGCATACAAACTAAACTTACATTGAAGGCGGTATACAGGGAAGAATACAATGTTTTCACTTTTTAATTTGACTGTTATTTTACAGTGTAGACAAAAATACAGAGTTGTTTCTTCTTCTTTTTTTCCACCTAATCATGATCACCTTACGTGGCATGACGTTACAGATCTGTTTGCAAAAAGGAAAAAAAACTTTTGAAGGGTGGAAAGTTAAAGCAGGAGTTTTCCCATGGGTCATGGGGAAGGTTGGCAGGCCTGTACATATAAGTAAAATATTGTTAGATTGAATATTTTTATTCGAACAAGCTTAAATCATTAAATGTGCCCAATCAGGTATCTGTAAGCATATAGTCCAAGCCCTGAGTAAATGTTAATACACATATAACTATAAGCCTTAATTAAACTGTCACTGTATTGATTAAGGATTTAATTATCCTGAAATACACCCACACTATAACGGTCAATATAGACCTAAGTAGTATAGTCCAGCTGTCACCTTTCAACCGTGATCGGTTGTTTATCAAGTGTAACACTCATCAAAGCCCCATTACTTGTGTGAGATAGCTAGTGCATGCTTTAAAAAGTCTGTAACAATGTTTTTATACCAACTGTCATAAAATCTCCAACACTTGCTAGGACTCCGATTGATTTTGTAATGCTGCCTAACCTTTGACTACATGTTCAATATTTACTTGTCCTGGCAAACACTAGGTAAGTAGATGTACACAGAACCTGAAACCTCCTGGACACAAGAAACTACAATGAAGCACTAAAATAGGCAATTTGAGTTGTAATCCAAAGCGTTATGAGAAAGAGTGTTCCAAAGTGAAAAGGAGTGGCTATACCATGTTGATTCATCATCAGCTGCCTGAGTGATGAAATAGAATTGAGATATAAATGATACCATCAACATTCAAAACACATTCGGCCACTGCTCATTTGAACAAATTTCATTAGTCCTTCAATGTGGTAGATGACTATCAAGTTTGTTCCAGTGAATGACCTCGACATACTTTAAGGTCACATAAGTAAAATGTTTTAAAACCTTTTAAACAACTTCAGAATAAGGACGAGGCCTAGGGTCATGCTGGGGTAGAGATCTATTTATTTCAAAAAATATTTAAATGAATGGTCTTAATTTATTATAACCCACTTTCAAAGTAACAAATGCATTTAAACATCAAGAATGTTTTTTTTCAATAACCAAAAGGCCTTATATTTTGCTAGTTGCTTGCTAGGACACATAGGAGGCTTCACAGGGGTCAAATGTGTTACCATGTAACTTTAAACAAATTCTGCAAAGATCTCAGGTTATAACATTTGTCTCTAGCAATATGCTAGGATGAATTATGGACTGTCAATTTTGTTCCAATGAATAATTGACTTTATTTCTGTAGGTCACAGGGTCAAATCTTTTGAAACCGCTTAATATCTTCAATATGAATAACCAGGAGTGCTTGGTTTATATTTGGCTTTAGCCTGCTGGGGTGGATGGCTACAACATTTATTCAAATACCTAACCTTGACCCATGTTAATGATCAAGAGGTCAAATAATTTTAAAACTTTTAAATTTTCCTTTTAAATAATCAATATGGAATAGGTCAGAATATTTTCCAATGGCATACATGGATGACAGCCCATATAGTTTATTGAAATGAATAACCGTGATACACTTTCTAGTTCATTGGAATCATTTTTGCCCAAATCACTAAATAACAGATGAGTGATACAGGCCAAGGGTCATGGTATTGTACCAGTAAGAAGCCTAGGATAGACTGTTTTGGATGTGTTAAAATATAAAACCATAATCTTCATTCAAAGTCACAGGGATAAAATATGTTAAAACTTTTAAATGACTTCTTGCCTAAGGTTGAAGGATATCAGAGTTGTTCAAACATATGTCTATGATCCTCAGATTTATTATTAAGCATAAAACTGCCTTCTTTGGAAAGTTATTGTACTATAATTCTCACAGGAATGCAGACAAATTGAATAACATGCTCTAACGCGTTTAATACTTATATTTCCATTTTTAGGTCACCTGAGCTTTGCTCATTAGTGACCTATTCTAATCGCTTTCCGTCCGTCGTTGTCCGTCGTGCGTAAACTTTTTACATTTTCAACTTCTTCTCAAGAACCAGCGGATGGAATTTTTTCAAACTTGGTCAGAATTTTCCTTGGTAGATAAGGCTACACAATTGTAAAACTGGGATTCCTACCCCAACCCCTGGGGCCAGGGCGGGGCCCCAAAGGGAAAATTAACCAATATTTCAAAAATCTTCTTCTCCAGACTCAGATGTACTACAGTCATTTTCTCTGCATGAAATGAAAGAGCATCAGGGGCTTTATTTGAATTGTAAATTTTAGGACCCCCGAACTATCCGTTCTCCCTTGAGGAGGGGGTAAAATTTACTGTAGTTTATATAGGGAAATAACACTTTTGGGTGTATTTTGACAATTTTCTGTAGGAAATTATATTTACTTGGTGAGAATTATCCTTGGCGGAAGATGGTTTCAAATTGTAAAATAAGGATTCCTACCCCAACCCCTGAGGCCAGGGGGGGGGGGGGGCTCCAAAGGGAAAATTAACCAATATTTCAAACACCTTCTTCTCCAGACTCAGAGGTACATTTGTACTAGCAATTTCAGTGCATAGATAGAAAGATCATCAGGAGTTTTATTTAAATTGTCAATTTCAGGACCCCCGAGCCATCCGTTCCCCCTTAGGATGGGGGGTAAAGTTTACTATAGTTTATATAGTGAAATAACATTTTGGGTATATTTTATCAATTTTCAGCAGAAAATTATTCAAACTTAGTCAGAAACATCTTTGGTGAATGAGGGTATAACATTGTAAAATTGGGATTCCTGCCCCATCCCCAGGGGCTAGGGTGGGGCCCCAAAGGGAAAATTTACCAATATTTTAAAATTCTTATCCTTTGATGACATGACAAGTATTGTATTTCACTTAGTTTACATGCTGATTTCCACATCACATCTAAACAATAAAATAAAGCTACCAGTACCTATGATATAACTCAAAGGCCTCTTGTTAATTGAAGTTTTTCTTATATTTCCAACCTGTTATTACATTTCAAAGTCAAATTTCGCGCTGTCTGTCAATGGGACCTGTTTCTTGTGATGTCATGAGTACACGCGACCGTTCCGGGCCAAATAAATACAGTTCATGGAAATAAACACAAGATCATCAATTAAACTAAAACAATTTAATCATTATATTCCACCGTGAGGATATTCACCTTTTATACCACATCACTACACTTAGTATAGTGACATTGGCCAAAACAATGTCATACAGTCACTACATCATGAACATGTTCTTCATATCACTACACCAATGGTTATGAGCTGATATCTTTCTATTTTGTTTGCTAAGGTTATATAGTGGCAATACAGAGCAAATGACTTCTTATGTTACGTTTACATATGTTCCCCGCAGTCACAGCAATCACGATTCAGGCCAACGGGGACAAAACTGAAAGGAGGTGAGACAACGCGGGGGGATGGGAGGGGCAAACGTGATAGGCCGTGATTGCAGTGGATGCCAGACCAGATTTTTAAACTGTTAAAAAATGTGCCACGACAGTCACAGTGCGGATGAGAAACCTAGTAGGCCGTAGTAAAACGGGGTGAACGCAACAAAACGTGACAGTACGTAATAGGCCGTAACAAAACTTGGAGGCGGTCCGAAGTGGGACGGGAAGCATGTTTATTCCCGGGCATCTCACGGTCCTTAATTTTAAGTTTTGTCACATTCTGCCGCATTTGGTGCACGGTTTGTCAAGATTGCTTCAAGGTTGCTACACGTTTTTTCCCATTTTGCCATGTTTTGTCATGGCTCTAATGGCAAGCTAGAGTGTATGGTAGCCGGCTCCTTGCATTCAATCACGACGTGTGACGATTTACAGGCCCTTTGCACTACGGCGCATTGCGTTCTACTACAGTCTGACACAGCGCACGGTCTGGGAGGGAGTATATAAAAGCCGGGCCCAGCAGGGGAGCTTCATTCGAGTCTGAGCAATCAACGACACATTACTGTATCTACTACGTCAACTGGCAAAGTGCAAAACATCTTGTACACCCAGATGCTCACCTTCAACTCCTTCACCTCCTTGCTTGGTCAGATCCCAAGCAACCTGACAAGCCCCAACCAAACCAAGAGAGAAGGACCAGCAGCACTAGCACTTAAGCCAAGGAGAAGCCACAGAACGACGACCAGACCAGACCAGTGAAGTTTTTCCTGATCTTTTTTAACTCTTAGAAAATAGATGTAGTTTTTTCTGATGATAGGCTAGAACTCCGTAGAATATGGATGATTTATGTAGAAAAATAAGTTTGAGAAAATTAAGGGCAGATTTAAGCCACAAAATGGACATTTTCTATGAAAGATATTTTAGGTTTCAATGAGAGTTATTAGGACTTCATTATGAGTAAAGCAGGTTTAGTTTATGCATTTAGCAATGATTTGTGATGGATGACCATCATTTATGTAATATGAAAGAATGTAGAGGAAGACAAAGAATTATTTAGATAAGAAAATCAAAGGTTTATTAATTGATAACAAAGTATCGCATTATGTAACCGGTACTTTAACAAGAGATTTATTATTGTTCCTTTTGTTTTACCTTGGTTTGTTTTTATCCTCGTTCTGGCAATAAAGCGGTATCTTAACAAAAGCTTCCTCAGGCTCTGGACTTTGAACTCATTATGCATGATTGAAGTGGATGAAGAATTGGCTGCGTGCATGATACATCACATAGGCACAACCATTTAAACTTTGGGCAAAAGTGGTGGTCCTGCTAGGACCTGTGTTTTTGGTTGTGAAGTGTCTTTCACTGGGGAGTGATCATTCTAACCTGCCAGTCCGTACAGCAACAGCAGGGGAGTTGAAGTACCTTTTAAGGTACTCAAAAGCGAGGAGAGGGATACTGAAAAAACCCTTGTAGTTTTGGTACAAGGAGCCTGTGTTGTGTGGCTTGCTGATGGAAATATTCTTCCCTTCCAGTGCTTCCACTGCATGAGGCACAGTCCACTTGTCTTCAAAAACCATGGCAAGGGCTCTCCACTCATCGGGCATCACAGGAACGGCAAACACTTCGTCCTTGTAGGCTTCCACAATGGCCCTGCACACTTCTATCACCATGTTGGCAGATATCTGCTTTACTGCACTGGAATACATAGGAGAGTGATGAATAGTTGTCCCCAAGTGGCCAGACGTCTCCGAGTCACTGACAGCTTCAGTCCAGGTGGTAGAAGAGAGCAGAAATTTGTGTCTTGCCTCTTGATGGCTTGTGCTACGTACTCTTTCCAGGATCTAGTCGAAGAGCTCTGCAGGCATCCACAGATAGTTCTGGAAGGCTTGACATCTTCAGTGCGGAACTCTCTGGTGAGAAAGAGCGAGTAGTGGCCCAGCTGCTGCCTTCTGTCTTGCGATAACCATTCACACTCCCACATGGATCTTGGCATTCTCATTCATCCTCTTTGCCTTCATCCTGCCTGCTGCACTCTGGGAACATAATGTAAACTTAGCATCTCAAGTTTTAGATGCCCTAGGGACACCATATTTTTGATTTGTAGATGGCTTTGGATGTAGGGCTATTAAAGTTGTAGGTCAGGGTGGAAGATCAGTTTGAGATTATTTTCTTAAAAGACTACTCCTCCTGAAGTGTATGCTAGATTTTAATCAACTTTGACAGTTTACGCACACATGTATTGATGTCAAACCAAATGTAGACAAACTAATCTGTATTAATCTTGTGAGCATTATTTTTTCAGGTAAAGAACTGTATGCCTGCCAGACAGCTTGGGATGATTTTGAAACCATTCTCAAAACCCTAGGAGGGCCAGAGGAGAAGAGAAGAGCTCAGCTTCTGCTCCATCGGGTCAAAGTTATCCCTGATCAGCCATCAAAACGTGCCAAAGATCTTCCTGACACCGGCAAAATCCGGCAACGAACCAAGGTAAGGACTTGTGTACTGTCATGAAATCATGTTTCATCATACTGAGTACCTTAAAGCATACATGTACTAGTACCACATTGAAATATGATTTGGTGTGAGCATCTACATGAACAGAACATTATTTTGTCATTTGGACCATGTCAGGTTCTCCTGATGTAAATGTTGATAATGTCTATGAATATACTTTATAATAATGATATTTTATTGACTGAGAACTAACATAAAGGTTCTTTAATTTAAATTCTGGAGTTGGACCTTTAGTTCTCTTGAATATTGAAGTAATTTAAGAGCTCTATATGAATCAATTTTTTGCATTCCCATACTTATTTAAATATTCTGCACTGTACAGTACCTTCTTAAGAAAACAAACACAAGTACAGAATATTATTTATGACTCAATATTGGCTGGTTTGAAATCAACAAATCCACTGGTACCTTTGACTGATTTACAATTCCATCAGATTATTGACCAAATGTGTATCTATCATTGCATTCAACAAGGACCTTGAAACATCGAAATTGTTACAATTTGTCTAGTGTTATATGAAACATTCAGATCCCTTTTTTAAACAGAATATAAAAATTCAAATCTATTCATATGTTTTCTTGTCAAAAAATATTTCAATAAAGACATAAATGTTAACCTTTTTTACTGAAAAGTATCACAATCAACTTTTTATGTAAAAGGTTGGATATTGGTACCATTGCTAAGGTTTGTACAGGGTTTTGAAAGGGAAAGTATACTTTAAAGATAAATTTAAGTGTTAGGCAGAACTGCCAATGGGCTATATATAAAGGATCAATGTTTCAAATCAGTAAATAAAACATTCACACGAGGCTGAATCAAGCTATCTGATTCACTCAAAATCTTGTTTTCTGTTTTAGTTGAAAAGTGTGGTTTTTGAGCTTCAATCTGACTCTCTCTATGGCTTGTCTATTACATTTTGCATCTTACAGAACTTGAATTTATTTTGTTTTTTGGTGTTGCTGAACCTTTTGGACAAAATTTATTGCCAGAGGCGACACAGATTCCAATAGGAAATAAATGCTGGTGATATAGTTATAAGAACTCCTATCTGTACATTGTCCTCAAGACCAAAGTAAATAAGCTAGTTACATGAAACCAATTTGTTAATATTGCATTGATGGAATATCTCTTTGGCCAAGGGGTATAACTCTGATTACAGAATAATGATTTATGAGAGCTCTTTGTGGTCTACTGTCTGTTGAAGATAAGGCTATTGTGCTGTAGACCTATGATGCTGTGTCCATAATAATTTGGATTATTTAATGGTAATGCACTTTCTATGAAATGTTTAGATAAGCAGTTTTCACATTTTCATACCTGTCAACTCACCCGGATGTCTGGGTCACACCCGGAAACAAGACCCTCCACCTGGAAAAAAATTATGACCCGAACGGGTCATCATTTCACCCGTTTTTTTAATCTTTGACCTGAAAAGACCAGGGTTCTCAAACCTAGCCTCGTTTTCAGTTATTCATGTGCGATCCCCGGACTTCATCGTTGTATTGAAAAAGCGTGATAGAAACAGAGAGTCATGTTTTAATAGAATGTAACTTGTATGATGATCTCTGTTCAGGCCTATTGCAGGAGGCTAGTAAAATCACAAATGGTTTCTACAATATGAGTAAAGAGGAAAAGTTGGTTGTAATTCTAAGCAACCCTCATATATACTTGGTGAGGTCCTGTGCCAAAACCTGTGTTAATATTCTCAATCGACGTCGCAACTTGATCTATAATTAAACAGTAATGTGTCTTTTAATGTCAATTATTTTTATAGTTTTATATTGGCAAATTGTTTTTAGTTCATTAGTATGTATATTTATACACAACAAAAACGATGAAACAACAGTTTACCTGTTCATTACAATTCGAGATATTTAAATGAGGCAGATAGTAAGATGTTGTGATTATGTACAGTAATGTGTTGTGATTATGTACAGTAGGATGTTGTGATTGTGTACAGTAGGATGTTGTGATTGTGTACAGGAGGATGTTGTGATTGTGTACAGTAAGTTGTTGTGAGTGTGTACAGTAGGATGTTGTGATTGTGTACAGGAGGATGTTGTGAGTGTGTACAGTACATTGTTGTGATTGTGTACAGTAGGATGTTGTGATTGTGTACAGTAAGTTGTTGTGAGTGTGTACAGTACGATGTTGTGATAGTGTACAGTACGATGTTGTGATTGTGTACAGTAGAATGTTGTGATTGTGTACAGTAAGTTGTTGTGAGTGTGTACAGTACGATGTTGTGATTGTGTACAGTACGATGTTGTGATTGTGTACAGTAAGATGTTGTGAATGTGTACAGTAAGATGTTGTGATTATGTACAGTAAGATGTTGTGATTGTGTACAGTAAGATGTTGTGATTATGTACAGTAATATGTTGTGATTGTGTACAGTACGATGTTGTGATTGTGTACAGTAAGATGTTGTGATTGTGTACAATAGGATATTGTGATTGTGTACATTACGATGTTGTGATTGTGTACAGTAAGATGTTGTGAATGTGTACAGTACGATGTTGTGATTGTGTACAGTAAGATGTTGTGAATGTGTACAGTAAGATGTTGTGATTATGTACAGTAAGATGTTGTGAATGTGTACAGTACGATGTTGTGATTGTGTACAGTAAGACGTTGTGATTATATACAGTAGGATGTTGTGATTATGTACAAAAGGATGTTGTGATTGTGTACTGTAGGATGTTGTGATTGTGTACAGTAAGATGTTGTGAATGTGTACAGTAAGATGTTGTGATTATGTACAGTAGGATGTTGTGATTGTGTACATTAAGATGTTGTGAGTGTGAACAGTAGGATGTTGGGATTGTGTACAGTAGGATGTTGTGATTGTGTACAGTAGGATGTTGTGAGTGTGTACAGTAGGAGTTGTGATTGTGTACAGTAGGATGTTGTGATTGTGTACAGTACGATGTTGTGATTGTGTACAGTAAGACGTTGTGATTATATACAGTAGGATGTTGTGATTATATACAAAAGGATGTTGTGATTGTGTACTGTAGGATGTTGTGATTGTGTACAGTTAGATGTTGTGAGTGTGTACAGCAAGATGTTGTGAGTGTGTACAGTAAGTTGTTGTGATTATGTACAGTAAGATGTTGTGATTGTGTACAGTAATATGTTGTGATTGTGTACAGTAGGATGTTGTGATTGTGTACCGTAAGATGTTGTGAGTGTGAACAGTAGGATGTTGGGATTGTGTACAGTAGGATGTTGTGATTGTGTACCGTAAGATGTTGTGATTGTGTACTGTAGGATGTTGTGATTGTGTACAGTAAGATGTTGTGAGTGTGAACCGTAGGATGTTGTGATTGTGTACAGTACGATGTTGTGATTGTTTACTGTACAGTAAGATGTTGTGAGTGTGTACAGTAAGATGTTGTGAGTGTGTACAGTAGGATGTTGTGATTGTGTACAGTAAGATGTTGTGATTGTGTACAGTAAGATGTTGTGAGTGTGAACAGTAGGATGTTGTGATTGTGTACAGTACGATGTTGTGATTGTGTACAGTAAGATGTTGTGATTATATACAGTAGGATGTTGTGATTATATACAAAAGGATGTTGTGATTGTGTACTGTAGGATGTTGTGATTGTGTACAGTAAGATGTTGTGAGTGTGTACAGCAAGATGTTGTGAGTGTGTACAGTAAGTTGTTGTGATTATGTACAGTAAGATGTTGTGATTGTGTACAATAAGATGTTGTGATTGTGTACAGTAAGATGTTGTGATTATGTACAGTAAGATGTTGTGATTGTGTACAGTAATATGATGTGATTGTGTACAGTAAGATGTTGTGATTGTGTACAGTAAGATGTTGTGATTGTGTACAGTAAGATGTTGTGAATGTGTAAGGTAAGATGTTGTGATTATATACAGTAGGATGTTGTGATTATATACAAAAGGATGTTGTGATTATGTACTCTAGGATGTTGTGATTGTGTACAGCAAGATGTTGTGAGTGTGTACAGTAAGATGTTGTGAGTGTGTACAGTAGGATGATGTGGTTGTACCGAAGTTGTTGTGATTATGTACAGTAAGATGTTGTGATTGTGTACAATAAGATGTTGTGATTGTGTACAGTAAGATGTGATTATGTACAGTAGGATGTTGTGATTATGTACAGTAGGATGTTGTGATTGTGTACAGTAGGATGTTGTGATTGTGTACAGTAAGATGTTGTGAGTGTGTACGGTAGGATGATGTGTATGTACAGTAAGACGTTGTGATTGTGTACAGTATGATGTTGTGATTGTGTACAGTAGAATGTTGTGATTGTGTACAGTACGATGTTGTGATTGTGTACAGTAAGATGTTGTGAGTGTGCACGGTAGGATGATGTGTATGTACAGTAAGACGTTGTGATTGTGTACAGTATGATGTTGTGATTGTGTACAGTAAGATGTTGTGATTGTGTACAGTAGGATGTTGTGATTATGTACAGTAAGATGTTGTGAGTGTGTACAATAAGATGTTGTGATTGTGTTCAGTAAGATGTTGTGATTGTGTACAGTAAGATCTTGTGATTATGTACAGTAAGATGTTGTGATTGTGTACAGTAAGTTGTTGTGATTATGTACAGTAGGATGTTGTGATTGTGTACAGTAAGTTGTTGTGATTGTGTACAGTAAGATGTTGTGATTGTGTACAGTAGGATGTTGTGAGTGTGTACAGTAGGATGATGTGTATGTACTGTAAGTTGTTGTGATTATGTACAGTTAGATGTTGTGATTATGTACAGTAAGATGTTGTGATTGTGTACAATAAGATGTTGTGATTGTGTACAGTAGGATGATGTGTATGTACTGTAAGTTGTTGTGATTATGTACAGTTAGATGTTGTGATTATGTACAGTAAGATGTTGTGATTGTGTACAATAAGATGTTGTGATTGTGTACAGTAAGATGTTGTGATTGTGTACAGTAAGATGTTGTGAGTGTGTACATTGAATTGTT